TCTACAACTGATCGCCGATTATTAGTTTATTAAAACCTTGAAACATGGAAAACTATTTATTTAATATCGTAAAACAGCATCAATATTTCTAAAAAATTTAAAATCGCTGATTTTGAATTAATTGCCAGTATGCTAATTATGTAGGTACCTGTAAATTTCAGATAAAACAGATTTCATGAAAATAATTTAATTGAAAAAACTTCTGAAACATTATTTGCACGCATACAAATATGCTGTCACTGCAATACTTAATTAGTAATTTATGTCATGTGCCACACGTCTCAAAAACTTTAAAACATTATTTCTCTCATAACCAATGCAACCAGTTTGAAAAGTCTTTCATTGCAATCCCTGTATTTCATACGCACAGGGCTACCTCTTTGGCCACTCAGGTATTGCTCTATTTGCAATGTTCTGATGCTCTGCTCACGCTGGATAATTTCAATAAACATCCCAGTATTAGGGTGGTGTGCACATATTTCGAATCCACAATGAATCATTTGTCTTAGGAAGACAGTGTTTTACTTCTTCGTGACAGTTCCACATTTCTAGGGAGAAACAGGGCATTCGGCTTCCCTCCGTATTTGAAGGCATCCAGTTCAGCAGTCCTCAAAGTAATCGGTCAATCCTTCGCAATATACACTGTGAATAGTGGAGAAAAAATGATCGATGTCTAGTCTTTGGAAATTCTTAGCGAATAGCACTGACTATGGCAGGTTCGAAATCATTCACGATTGTTTCTGTTGAGGCATTAAGTTTACTTAATGTTTACAAGCTGTTTTACTTGTTGCAATAAACCAACATATATAGCTTCTGGGTTGCCTAGAAGTAGAGCATCCAAAAACAGTATTGAATTGTTCACCCGATTACCATGGAGTCTATAGAGTTGATAAAACAAATGAGGCACTGTCTTAAAATTTCCATCTCCAAAAAAATTTTCAGGTGAAGCTAATAGCCCTGGATTTTATGCAGTGGAAAATAAAACTATTCTATCTTCCTTCGGTTCTGAATCAAAGAGCAACAACGGTTCACTTTCTTTAGTTATCTTATACTCCTGGGGAAATACAATTCCTTCGGGTGTTAGGCACAGCTGGTGCTATTTATTTCCTTATTCTGATGTTTCTTATCGTTCTTTTGATACT